GGCGGGGACCCGGGCCGGCCGGGCGGGGTGCGTGGCCCCCCCGGGATGGGGCCGAGGTTGCGGGCGCGCTGTGGGCTCCGGGAACTCATCGCGGTCCTCCGGACAGCGCCGCACGGGGTGGAGTCGGGCGGGGCCGCGCGCCCGGGACGTCTGCCGCGCGCTTCGGTCGGCGTCGGCCCTTCCGTCTGGACCCCACGTCCGCCGCCCCACGAGCACGTGGCCGTCCCCGAGCAGTGACCCCCGGCACCCCCCTCTGCCAAGCCGGGCCGGCCCCGGACCGGGCTCCGTCGGGATTCAGTCCAAGCGGGGGCGACCTTGGCCTCCACCTCCTGCGTGTCCCAACGTGCTCCATTCCTTGGCGAGAGTTCCCCCAGGAGTTTCACACGGGTGTGGGGCGGGGGTGACGCGCGCGTCCCCACGAGCTTGAGAAGGCATTAGTCCCCAAGCAGCCCAGGTGGCCAGGACCTCTGCCTCCTCAAGGTCAGAGGAGCCCTGACGGGAGGCAGGGGGAAGGCTGTCCCTGACAGGGCGTCTGTCGGCAGCCCCCGCCCCCAGGCGCCCGCCCCTGGCTGTCGGCTGGCTCTCTCACTGTCCCTGGGTCGCTCCCTTCCTACCCCGCCCCTCCTGGCTGAGCCTCTGCCCAACTCTGCCCACCTAGCCACCAGCTCCTGCACACGGGGCTGACTTAGAGCCAGGAAGGAGGGTGGCTGGAGAGCTGGGACAGACAGGGCCCCTCCCTGGTCATCCAGGAGCAGTGGTCAGGATCTGGGATGTGGCCGTGCTGTGGAGAAAGAGGCCACTAGGCTTCCCCAGCTCAGGCCCAAGGCAGGGTGGAGGAGAAGGAAGAGGCTGACCGTTGTTTGCTGTTCCCAGAGGGGAGGAACCGGATTTGGCCTGGAGTGCTTCTGCTGTGGCCTGGAGCCGAGGGGCTTCCGGCTGCCTTCCCAGGAACCCGCCCACCCTCAGTCCCTGTCCCAGAGACGGCCCCTCTCTGCAAGGCTCAGGGTGGGGGACAGTCCCCAGGGCCCTCCTGCAGTCCAGCTGCCCTGACTTGGCCCAGACGAGGCCGGGCCAGCTCAGGGCTCTCTGGGGTCTTGGCCAACAGTCCTGTGGACAACCCGGAAAAGCACTCTGCCTGCTGGGCGGCCGCTGGCTCTCAGCAGAAAACAAAGACGCCTCAGACCCAGCTGGCTTCCGTCCTGCCTGGAAGGCACTGGTGGGGCGAGGGTCCGGAATCCTGCCCGTCCCCACGCCAGGCTGCATCCCAGCTGCCCCTGCAGCCCACAGCTGAATAGCGCGAGGGCCAGGACATCCCAGGGCCATCTCAGGATGCTGTGCCTCTGTGTCCCCAAAACACGTGCAGTCTGGGTGGGGATTGGGTTCTCTTCCAAGCCTTTAGACCCAGTGGATTCTGGGTTCTCAACTGGAGCCTGTTAGGTGTGGCCGTCAGCCCACTCGGGGGGTCTGAGGGTCAGTTCCCTGCCCCCACATGGCCCACGTCCCAGGGCTGGCTGGAGCAGCGTGGTGCTGGCAGCCCTGTGCGGCAGCTGCCTGGCTTCGATACCATCAGAACCTCCCTACCTCGGTGCCTGGCGAGGCTGCCAGCATGGCTGGGGCAAGCCTGCCCCCGCTCGCCCGGCTCTGGCGGCCCGCGTCCCAGCATCCCTCAGCAGAGCAGTTCTAGCCAGAGGGCTGAGCTGGTGTGGCCGTGTGGGGGCGGGGGAGGTGGTGCCAGCAGCTTCTGCCCGGGCCACGAAGAGCCACACTCAGGGCCCTGCACCTGCTGCCTGGAACGGCACCACGGGCCTCAGGGCAGGCTTTGCCCTGGCCGGGACCCCAATCTGCGGCATTTGCCACACAGGGGATGCCCGGGTGACTCTCTAAGAAGGGAGCCGGGAGAGCCGCTGGTCCTGGGCCTCCCAAGGGGCTTGGCCAGATTTTGCCCTCAGAGTGTCTGAGCCCAGCCCGCAAGGGCCCTTCCCACCGCCTCCAGCCCAGCCCTCCCCCTCGGGCCCTGCTCGGGCTTTTCTTCCTGCCCTCTTCTCCTGCACCCTTTTCCTGCCTTGCTCCTTGCAGGCCCGGCTTCCATCCCCGGGAGGTGGCCCAGCAGCCCCAGCACTGGGGGTGGGGGGGTGGGAGAGCACCTGACCCTGAGCAGCTGATCTCAGACCTTTGGCCCAAAAGTGGCAGCTGGAGGCAGTAGGGCTTAGGGCTTAGGATGAGGGGTCAGATAGGACAGATGCCGGTCCTGCTGGGAGGGCTCCTGGGGGACTGGCCTGCCTCGGTGCAGGGCTCAGGGCTGCTCCCTCAGCCTCTCCATTAGCGACCCCCTGTGTGAGGGAGGATAGAGTGTGGGAGGCAGGTGTGAGTGGGAGGCAGAGGTATGCGAGGCAGGTGTGTGGGAGGCAGGTGTGTGGGGGAGGCAGAGGTATGTGAGGCAGGCAGGTGTGTGTGGCAGGCAGGTGTGAGTGGGAGGCAGGTGTGTGGGAGGCAGGTGTGAGTGGGAGGCAGGTGCGAGTGGTGGGAGGCAGGTGTGGGGGGAGGCAGCTGTGAGTGGGAGGGCAGGTATAAACACAGGCACAGTCCCAGCAGGAGTTTCGGGATTTAGCAGGTGCTTGATGGGGGACCCCTGGTAGATGGGGCTCTGGCATGTGGTTCCAGGACTGTGGGGTGACTGAGACCAGAGGGAGAGCAGCAGCTGGAGGGTGGGGGACCACAGAAGGCCTTTGGCCTGAAACTAGTAGCATTTCTCTAAGAAGTGGGGGGCCGGCCAGGTGGAAGGACAGTAGGGCTTGGAGCATGTGGGGGGCTGTGACTGCCAGGTGGGGGCGAAGGGGATGGGGAGCAGAGGGGCAGGTGGCGGCCATGGGGTGCATGGGGGACCCGCCCTGACTCCCCTCCCGCCGCAGCCGAGAAGGTGAGCTCCCTGGGCAAGGACTGGCACAAGTTCTGCCTCAAGTGCGAGCGCTGCAACAAGACGCTGACGCCCGGCGGCCACGCCGAGGTGAGCCCCCTCTTCTCCGCGCGGGCGGGTGGACTGGCAGCTCCCAGCCACCCTGGGGAGGGCCCTCACTCCGCCCCTCTGCCTAGCATGACGGGAAGCCGTTCTGCCACAAGCCCTGCTACGCCACGCTGTTCGGACCCAAAGGTGAGCAGGGCCTTGCCCGCGCTGACCTGCCCTGGGCCGGTGGGGTGGGGGGCCGGCCTGGCTCCTCGGCCGCACTCGGGGGTCCCGGAGCCCCTTTCTCCCTGACGCTCGCCGGCCCCCCCCGGCGGCCCAGCCCCTCCCCCGCGCTCCCTCGGGACCGGACCCCGACGGCCTGTTGGCTGAGAGGTCGGGTGTGAGGGCTGGGAGTGGGCGAGGCGCGGCCTCCCAGAGACCTGCCCGCCACCCCCAGGCGTGAATATCGGGGGCGCCGGCTCCTACATCTACGAGAAGCCCCCGGTCGAGGGGCCGCAGGTCACCGGCCCCATCGAGGTCCCCGTGGCCCGAGCAGAGGAGCGCAAGGCAAGCGGCCCCCCCAAGGGGCCCAGCAAAGGTGAGCGGGGCCGGGGTGCGGGGGGCGGGGAGTCCGCGGCCTCCGGCGGCCCTAACCCATCCCCCTCCCAGCCTCCAGCGTGACCACGTTCACCGGGGAGCCCAACATGTGTCCTCGCTGCAACAAGAGAGTCTACTTCGGTGAGTGGCGGTCCCTCCCCGCCCCCGGGAGCCTCCCCCGGGCCGGGCGTCACCATTCCCCCGCTTTCCAGCCGAGAAGGTGACGTCCCTGGGCAAGGACTGGCACCGGCCCTGCCTCCGCTGCGAGCGCTGCGGGAAGACGCTGACCCCGGGCGGGCACGCGGAGGTGAGGGGCCGAGTCGGGGTGGGGGCGGGGCTGAGCGGGACACGCAGCGGCGCCGCGGCCGAGCGCCCAGCACTGAGCGCCCCGCCCGGCGGACAGACGCGGGGTGGGGGCGGGGCGGGGGCGGCGGCGCCCATTGGCCGCGGGGCGGGGCCTGCGCGTGCGTGGGGAGTGGGGA